ATACAAGTATAAAAAATAATAAAAAAGATACCTATAAAATAATTTAAAGTTATTTCTAATGAAATAATGTTTAGTGGAGGGAAAAAAACCTGAAAGAGAGGATATCTTGTATGTTATCTTTTAAGTAAGAAAGAAAGAAAAGTAGGAACTAAAAATGAGGAGAGATACTGACCTTTACAAATATAAAATACAGAAAATATAAACGAGAAACAGATTAGTTGGTCACCGAAAGATACTGCAGACACTGCTAGCTGAGCTGTACCCAGTGACTGTTGTTCGCTCTAAGCATGGCTCTGCCACTGGTGGACAGGCTGGTACTGATAGACACAGTGAGTTTTTGAGATTGGCGTTTAATGAAAAGAATGCAGATTTCTCAGTTTTACCTTACCAGCAACCCGAGAAAACTTTTGAGACTTGAGCAGTGTGCCTCCGCCATAAAGGAGGTAATTTTATTAACTTAGCGAGGGCCAGACAGTGGCACCTTGTTGGGTGTGTCATGACAAACCCTCTGGATCTGAGTTACCTGCAGTGGCCAGTTTGGCCAAGGAGGACAAGAAAGGGGACAGAGGAAAAAAACAAAAACACACTTAAAATTGAGACACTTATACTGGCTGCCATTTGGTTTCTGAAAAGTTTGACCAATGCATGATGAGTTTGCTGCCACTGAAACCATTGTCTAGTTACTCAGCAATGGAGTCGCAAGGAGAAGAATCCTGTGAACTGGCAGTGAGCCATGGTGGATCCAACACATAGACCCACAAGAATTAAAGTAGTGATAGCCCTTATTACTAATACAAATGCTATTCCCTCTGCCCCTCCTTGTAATCTTAAGATAAATCAGAAAACTCTGTCTACATTTACCCAGAGCTCTCAGCTTTCAGAAATAAACAAGATTAAGGATTGGACGAAGGTCCCTATGTCTCCAGTGGCATCTGAGGATGCACGCCAAGTCCGAATTCAAAGAGGCATTGGGGGGAAATTGCGAAACTTCGGCCCTGGATACTAGTGACTGTGATTGCCACAACTCTGAGAACAGGATGAAAGGGAAATAAGTAATGCTGTCTGCCCTTTACCCAGATCTGATCATATGTGAATCGCTTTGGGGCACTATAAACCTCCATTTTATAGCCTCCATGACTGAATATATTATTAGCATAGATGTATTTTCTATGTGAATTATAACTCAGATCAGCTCTGAGCTTTGATCAGTTATGATCATTTTAGTGAGGCACTGGAAGACTGTAAATCTACCAGACTGCCAGTGTCTAGAGACTTGTCTTCACAAACAACCACCTGGGGAAGAAAAATAAATTACTGCTTTCATTGCTGAGTTAAAATTATACAAAGATCTCCATGAGACCATTAACTCTATCCAATTCAACAACTAAGCTGAACTGTGCATAAAGTCTTGAGTGCTTATAGACCAACTTCACTCTGTGGTACAGCCCAGGACACTATTGTTACCTGACATTATGACTGCCATAGAGGCTCTTGATGAAGACGTTAGAAGTAATTATGAAGCAATTCATATCGCAAATGCCCTTTTCAGCATCACTGTCCACACAAACAGGCGCAGTTTGTCTTTTGTGCAATGGGTTGCAATATACCTTTCATGGCCTTCCACAAGGCCATGAGCTGGAAGAGGTCCTACTCTCACACTGCACTAGCATTTTGCTATATTGATAACACCCTCCTGGTGGGCCCAGGCAAGGCTCCTACACAACAAGGATTAGATGCTAAATTGACCCACATTAATTTACACAGTAGGGTCATTAATATGGGCATGATACAAGGACCCTGTACCCAAGTAAAATCCCTGGGAAGAGGCAATATATCTCATTCTAGAGGAAACAACTGCCAAATGTTTGTCCCTCTTAGTCCAACAAGTACAAAAGAGGCCTGGAAATTTGTTGAATTATTCTGCTATGGGTATTCTCACATTCCCCTCAATGGGATACTGATCGCAGGCATCTATTAAGTTCCCAAAAAGGCCTTCACAATTCAGTGTATTTCAACCAACATGCTCTGGAGGCTCTTCCACAGACCTCCATGACACTTTTCTCCTTGACGACCCTGATCTGAATATATTTTGCAGGTTTCAGCAATTTCTCTTTACAAATAAAAAAAGAAGGCAAATGCACAAAAAGAAAATTAAATTGGACTTCTTGACTCCTAACTTCCTGCAGTTGACTGAAAGGTACACACACTTTGAAGGACAATTATTGGTTTGTCAGTGGCTTTGGAAAATACCTGAGCAAATGACCAGAAATATTAGCCAAAAGTTATGAATACTTTAGCTTTTATTCTCTAGTTTTCTTCAAGTATTTATATTTTGGGTCAAAGGTTAAATCTTCTGTAAAATATATAGCAAAACTCAGATTCACAAAGCAAAGTAGAAAACCTTTGGCTGTAATTAACTTAAAATAATTTAAAGTTATCTATAATACTTATACTTACTGGCAGTGAGAGTTTTCTCTGTAGAGGTTCTTTGTTTCTTTTCTTGCATTTGGGGTTTTGTCATTGATTCTTCATTCTCAAGGATACGATTTTCATCTGGTAATGTAGCATAAGCTACATAAGAGATATATTTAGTCAGTAAATAGAAAAATAGATCTATTATGGAAAAACTATACTTCAAATTTATAACAAGTATACAACAACACTCATTTTTATGAAGGTATAACTAAATTGCCATAGTGCTAGAACTGAAAATGTTTGTGTGAGAAGAGTTTTAGTAGACATCTGTTTAAGTTTTCTTACTATTTCTCAGCATTATATATAGTTTACATTAGTCTCCAATATTCTTGGGCGATTTTTACTTTTTTAAAAAATTTCATTAATTTATTTTTGTTAAAGATGTTTCTCCTTTTCCCCCCACTGATTCCCCTCCCCCACACTCCCTGCCATGTCCCCAGCTTTGTTGTCCATGTCCATTGGTCATGCATACATGCATATACTTCTGTGGTTGATCTCTCCCCGACCACATCCTCAATTCCAGTCTGTACCCCAATTCCACATCTCTGAGAATACTCCGTTCCTCAGACTGTTATGTTCATTTTATTCCATAAATAAGTGAGTTCAAGTGATATTTGCTTTCTCTTCTTGGCTTGTTTCACTTAGGATAATCCTCTCCAGGTCCCTCCATGTCATCTCAAAGGATAAGAAATTTTTCTCTCTCACAGCAGCACAGTACTCCGTTGTGTATATGTACCACAGCTTTTGTATCCATTCGTCTACTGATGGATAGTTGGGCTGTTTCCAGATCTTAGCTATTGTAAATAGGGCTGCTATGCACATGGGGGTACATATATTCTTTCTGATTGGTGTTTCAGGCTTCTTAGGGTATATTTCCAGACATGAGATCACTGGGTCAAATGGAAGTTCTATTTTTTAGTTTCTGAAGTAACAACATATTGTTTTCCATAGTGGCCGCACCAGTCTGCATTCCCACCAGCAGTGGACTAGAGCCCCCTTTTCTCCACACCCTCGCCAACACACTTGTTTGATGATTTGTGGATGGCGACCATTCTGACAGGTGTGAGGTGACACCTCATTGTTGTTGTAATTTGCATCTCTCTGATGATTAGTGATGTTGAGCATTTCTTCATATATCTCTTGGTCATTTGTATGTCCTGTTTCGAGAGGTGTCTATTTAGTTCCTCTGCCCATTTTTAATTGGTTTCTTTGTCTTCCTTTTGTTGAGCTGTATGAACAATCTATATATATTGGAAATTAACCCCTTATCTGATATATCATTGGCAATTATGCTCTCCAATACAGTGGGTTTCCTTTCCATTTTGGTGGATTTTTGGTGTTCAAAAGCTTTTGAGTTTGATGCAGTACCATCTGTTCATTTTCTCCTTTGTTTCTGTTGCCTTAGGTGATGTATCAGTGAAAATTCTGCTGTGTATGATGTCTGAAATTTGATGGCTACAGATTCTTCTAGAATTTCATTGGATTCATGAGACACATTTAAGTGTTTTATCCATTTTGAATTTACTCTTGTGCATGGTGTAAGTTAATGGTCTAGTTGCATTTTCTTGCATGTAGCTGTCCAATTTTCCCAACACCATTTATTAAAAAGCCTGTCTTACTCCACTGTATGCTCTGGCCACCTTTGTCAAATATTAATTGAGCCTATTGTCTTGGGACCATTTCTGGGTTCTCTATTCTGTTCCATTGATCCGTATGCTAGTTCTTGTGCCAATACCAGGCTGTTTTGATTACAGTGTCTTTGTAATATAACCTGAAATCTGGTAATTTGATCCCTCCAACTTTGTTCTTCTTTTTTCAAAATTGGTGTGGATATTTGAGGTCGTTTTTGGTTCCATACGAGCTTATTTATTTTTTAAGTTTATTCATTGATTTTTGGTACAGATGTTTCTACTTTTCCCCCCACTCATTTACTCCATCCCTCCCTCCCTGCCCTGTCCGAAGCATTGTTGTCCATGTCTGCTGTTCATGCATACATGCATATAAGTTCTGTGGTTTCTCTCTCCCCCACAACCCCTTCTTCTGGGATCTGTCAGTCTGTACCACACTTCCACATCTCTGGGACTACCCCATTCCTCAGACTGTTAGGTACATTATATTCCACCAATGAGTGAGATCATATGATACTTGTCTTTCTCTGTTTGGCTTGTTTCACTTAGGATAATACTCTCCAGGTCCCTCCATGTCGTCACAAGGATAAGAAATCTTTCCTTCTTACAGCTGCACAGTACTCCATTGCTTATATGTACCACAACTTTTTTATCTATTGGTCTACTGATGGACATTTGGGTTGTTTCCAGATCTTAGTTGTTGTAATAGTGCTGCTATGCACATGGGGGTACATATATTCTTTCTGATTAGTATTTAAGGCTTCTTAGGGTATATTCCTAGAATTGGGATCACTGGGTCAAATGGAAGTTCAATTTTTAATATTTTGTTTTCCATAGTGGCTGCACCATACTGCATTCCCACCAGCAGTGTACTGGAGTCCCCTTTTTTATATTTTCCTCTATTTATTTTTTCAATGACCTGTAGTTTTCTGTGAATAGGTCCTTTATTTCTTCGGTTACGTTTATTCCTAGGTGTTTTAATTTTTTTGCTGCATTGGTAAATGGAATTGTTTCTTTAGTTTCTCTTTTTTTTAGCTCATCATTGGCGTATAGGAATGCCGCCGATTGCTTGATGTTAATTTTGTATCCTGCTACTTTGCCAAATTCATTTATTAAGTCTAGTATTTTTTTTTTTTTTTCTTTATCCTCACCTGAGGACATTTTTCCATTTTTTGTTCAGGTAGTGTGGGAGGGAGAGAGAGGAGCAGAGAGAGAGAAACATCGATGTGAAAGGAACACATCGAGTGGCTGCCACCCGCACAACCGACCAGGGCCGGGGACAAACTGCAACCGAGGTACGCGCCCTTAGCGGGAACCGAACCCGGGTCTCTCAGGACCGCAGGTCGATGCTCTAACCGCTGAACCAAACCGGCCAGGGCAAGTCTAGTAAATTTTTGATGGAGTCTTTGGGGTTTTCTACATATAGGATCATGTCATCTGCATAATGCTACGTATAGCATGACAGTTTCACTTCCTCCTTTCCCATTTGGATTCCTTTTATTTTTTCTTCCTGTCTGATTGCTGTGGCTAAGACTTCCAGTACTGTGTTCAATAAAGGTGGCGAAAGTGGGCATCCTTGTCTTGTTTCTGTTCTTGAGAGAGAATGCTTTTAGTTTTTGCCCACTGAGTATCATGTTGGCTGTAGTCTTTCAAATATGGCCTTTATTATATCGAGATATGATCCCTCTATTCCCAGATCGCTGAGCATTTTTATCAGAAATGGGTGCTGTATTTTGTCCAATGTTTTTTCAACATCTATTGATATGGTCATATGACTTCTATCTTTCATTTTGTTTATGTGGCGTATCACAATTAAGGTGCAAATATTGTACCAGCTTTGCATCCCTGAGATGAATCCCACTGGTCATGGTCAATAATTTTTTTGATGTATTGCTGGATTCGATTTGCTAGTATTATGTTTTCATTGTCCCACAGTTCTCTTAAGCTATCTTCCTGTTTTTTAATTGTCTTTTCCTTTTTGATTTCTAATTGGTTTATTTTTTTCTACCCTGTCTTCTAATTCACTGATTTGGTCCTCAGCTTCCTCTACTCTGCTGGTTAGTCCTTTCAATGTGTTCTTAATTTCTGCTATGTCATTCTTCATTTCCACTTGGTTGGTTTTCAATATTTCTATATCTTTACTCATGGTGCTGATGTCCTTACTCATGCTGTTCAACTTCCTCAAGATCATGGCTCTGAACTCTACCTCTGATAATTTGCTTAACTGCATTTCATTGATCTCATATTCAATAGAGTTCTCTTGTTCTTTAATTTGGGATTTGTATTTTTTATTTCACCATTTTGGCTATCTCAGTGGTTTTTTGGAGGCTGCCAAACTTCCCATGTGGGTGTTGATGTACTGATGTTTTTGGCTCCCTTTACTGGGTTTAGATGGGCCTGGGTGGGCCCACGTTAAACACCACTGTTCAGTCTTACTTTCCTGGATAGATTTGCAAGCCCAGGAAAGGTTCCATTATCCTTAGCTTTTTCCTAGTGGCTAGTAGTCTCAGTTACTAAGTGTCTTGGGATATAGTCCTGGTGTTCTGCATAAGATTTCCCGAGGGTGGGATAGATGCTGGTTGTTATTGAGCCTCAATTTGCATTTCTTTGCTTCACCTGGGAAAGGCTGAATCTCCGAAGAGGTGGGCTTCTACTTTCACCACAGCTCTGGGAAGGAGCACACTGGCCACCATCCTTTGTGGCCGCAACTCAGCAAAAACTCTGAGTGCCCTCCAAATCTCAGTTGTCTTCACAGAGTTCCAGCCCTGTCTGCCCTCCCTCTGCCATAGCCCCCAGGTGAGTGGTTGTGGCCCTTTTATGCTCTTTCCTGGCTCTCTGCTCTGTGTCATGGGCTTGGTCTTTATTCCCCAAGGGCGCTGCTCACAGCTAATACTGCTGCTGTCCGTGGGCTCCCATTCCACCACCCTCTCACTTCTCTGCAGATCCTACATGTGTCCCTGGTTATATGGGCCTGTCCTGATGCTTTTCTGTTCCTTTTTGCCGAGGATTTATCTTTATTTTAGTTGTAATTCTTGTGTGGTCCTGGGAGATTGTCTGCATAGCTTCTATTCTCTCTGCCTCTGTTTGTCACATCCTCTAGGACTATCTTGTGTATAGCTGGGTTGCCCAGTCCTCTCTGGTGACCCCACACCCTGCAGGTCCCACACGTAACTGGATCACAGAGTCCCTTCAGGAACCCGGCTCTATGCCTATGTTATGGGCTGCTGGGTCACACAGTCCTCTCTGGTGCTTCAGCATCCCACAGGTCTCATGGGTAACTGGATGGCACAGTCCCTGCTGGGTTGCACCGGCCTATCTCTGTTCCCCCAGCACCCTGCATGTCCCATGGGAGGTGTAGCTGGATTGCACCAGTCTGTCTCATTGTCTCAGCCCCTGGTCTGTGCTTCTGTTGCCTTGGGATGAATGTCTGTTTCCCAGCCTCTGTTGCTGGGGGTATATCTCGACTCT